ACCCCTGCCTTTTAAATTTATTTTATTTATTTGAAAGGCAGAGTGACAAAGAGGGAGAGACAGGGAGAGTGAGAGAGCTTCCATCCACTGGTTCACTCCCCAAATGGCTGCAACAGCTGGGGCTGGGCCAGGCCAATGCCAGGAGCCCAGAACTCCATGTGGGTCTCCCAAGTGGGTAGCAGGGCCCTAAGCACTTGGGCCATCTTTCACTGCTTTCCCAGGCCATTAGCAAAGAGCTGGACCAGAAGTGAAGCCCAGGTTGATAATTTGTGTGGCCTGCGAATGATGTTATAAATATCCAAGTGCCTGTGGCAGAAAAGTTTCCCCATCCCTGCCTCCAATAGATGCAATAAATATTTATTTGTAAAAAAAAAAAAAAGGGATTTGGAGGGACCAGTGGTGTGTCACCACCTTCAATCCCGTGTGAGCACTGGTTCGAGTCCCGACTGCTCTGCTTCTGGTCCAGCTCCCTGCTACTGGCCTGGGAAAGCAGTGAAAGATGGCCCAAGTGCTTAGGGCCCTGCTACCTGCATGGGAGACCCAGATGGAGTTCCTGGCTCCTGGCATTGGCCTGGCCCAGCCCCTGCTGTTGCAGCCACTGGGGGAGTGAACCAGTGGATGGAATCTCTCTCCCTCCCTCTCTCTATAATTCTGCTTTTCAAATAAACATATAATCTTAAAAAAGAAACAACTATCGACGTAACAACTCACCTGCTCTAGATTTATTGAATTTTGAGTGCTGCCTGCGGTTGCCTTGGCAGGGCCAGACCCAGAGATTTTGTGGGCCTGATTTAAGCTATGCGAGGTGATGTTACAGGACACAGACAGTAAAAAGGTTATGCACACGAAGCAAATTACCATATCCATCATCTCACATATTTATTGTCGTTCGTTTTTGTGCGTGACATCAGCTAAAAATCTCATTTGTCTGAGTCTCTTTTCGTCTCTCAAATGTGGAGCTCAATACTTATTAAACACAACTCCCCATACCCCTCCAGCCAGCCCCTGGCAACCAGCATTGTATTTTCTGTCCCCATAAATTTGACCTATTCTGGGTGTTTTCACATAGGCAGAATGACAGTATTTATTCTTTTGTGACTGGCTTATTTCACATAGCACAATGTCTTCAAGCGTCATACATCTTGTAGCACGTGTGAGAACTCTCTTTGAGGCTGAATAATACTCCATTGTACTAATATAAGTATTCCATTTTTCTCACGCACTCAGCTGTTGGTGACTGCTTGGGCTGCTTCCACTTTTAGCCATTGTGAACATTTCTGCTATGAACTTGGACATACCGATACCTCTTTTGAGCGCTTTTGGGTAGATGCTCAGAAGTGGAACCACTGGATCGTATGCTAGTTCTAAGTTCAAATTTTCAGGAAACTGCCACACTGCTTTCCATGGTGTTTACGCCATGAACCACTGCCTTTCGCACTCATCATTGATTTCGTATTTATTTATTGGTAGTGGTTTCTGTCTTCTCTGACTGTGGCTAAGGGCTAGGGACACAGTAGGGAAGACTGCCCGCATGGCCAAGCAATACACAGATACAGCCGCCCCCATTGTTAGTGGAAAGTATCTGAAGTCAGAAATGCATTGGCCCCAGAAGCCGGAGACACAGATGGGCACTTTGAGCCCTGGTGGGACCAGCACACACAGTATCCAAACACTCTGGCAACACAGTAGCAGTTGTCTACCCTGGTGACCTCCTGGCTGCCCAGTATCTAGAGAGAGAGAGGGAGGAAGGGAGGGGGAAAATGAATGGATTAATCATATCACTAATTGCTGGTCTGGGGGCAAATATCTCAAAGCCTACCTTCTATTGAATATGTGTGGTTCTTATGCCACTGTAAAGTAAAAAAAAAAAAAAAAAAAGTCAAACCGAAAAATCATCAAGTGGAACCCACACGAGTCAGGGGCCGCCTGTATGTGATTAGATCTGTGCTCACACATCTTGAACTACAGTGCATGCTGTACAGAGAGAACTGGCTTCTGTGATTGGAAACAACCGGCGAAAACCTAACTGGGATGAGGCAAGGAGCGCTTGGGGCCCACACCGCAGCACAGAAGGCTCAGCCTCTGCCTGCATCCCAAATGGGCACTGGTTCAAGTCCCGGCTGCTCCACTTCTTATCCAGCTCCCTGCTAATGTGCCTGGGAAAGGAGTGGAGATGGCCCCAGTGCCTGGACCCTGCCTCCCATATGGGAGACCCGGAAGAAGCTCCTGGCTCCTGGCTTCAGCCTGGCTCAGCCCCAGCTGTTGTGGCCATTTGGGGAGTGAGCCAGTGGGTGGAAGATTCTTTCTCTCTGTCTTTCTCTGTATCTCTGCCTTTTAAATACGTAAATAAACTTTAAAGGGGGAGGGGGGCACTTGAACAGAGACTCAAAGCTTAGAAGTGGATCAGGTGAAAGGAAGAAGGTTCCAGAAAGAAAGGAGTGGAGTGGGGTTTGCAGGGAGCAGACAGAGGTCTGCCATCCACAGAGACCTGCACCTCTACACTGGACGGTACTGGATTCATCACTCAGCAGGACCCAAAAGGTACAGATGGGAGCTATGAGCTTCAGTTTTCTCATCAATGAAAGGAGAATGAAAGATTTTAGGGAGGATGCAATCGGTTTATGCACGTACAGTTCAGCCTCAGAGACTGGAAAACAGACCTAGAAGTATATTTCCCAACCCCCACCCTCCCCGCCCAACATTGAGAGGACTGATTCAGGTAAAACCAGTCCCCTAACAAAAGACATTAGCACGGGGGAGTTTAATATTACCCGTCAGTCTGATCATTTTTCCTTCTTAACTCTGCCCCACCGAGTCCTTTTGGCTGCATGGCGAGTTTGCACTAAAGCATCAACTGATACTTTTGGATTAGGGACTTGCCTTTCCCTCCTGCACCTGCAGTCACCTCCTGCGTCGCTCTAGGGTCTCCCTGAGTTTTCTGACCACTACTAGCTCCTGGCTGCAACTCTCAATTAGAGGCAGATTCAAAATATGTCCCATTTCTGGGCATGGCATCATGACGTCAAGCTTCCTCCTTGGGGGGCACTTTGATGTCATCTGTTGGAACGGCTTGCACAGACCTGAGTTTTTTGGGACAGAATTAACATGTTGATTATGGCACAGGTTTTCTTGTGGCTGGATGAAGGTGATAGGAAGAATTCTGAAGTGGGATTTAGGGATTGACCGGCAGCTCAGCCACTTCCTAATCCAATCACCTTGTGTTTCTCAGCTTCAGTCTCCTCGTTTTGAAGATGGAAAATCTACAGTGACCACCTCGCTGGGAAGGCGTAAGAGACTTGTGTGCGAGGGGCTCAATCAGTTATTATTATCATCACTTGGAGATTTAAGTGGCACCATTTTTATTACCTTGTTCTAAGCAGAAATGGCTAACATACTTTAACTATCACCTACTAAAATAAACAACCATGTCTTAAATGAACTTTGCCTTAGACCACTCATTTTTTTGAGCTGTAGATCTGCACACTTGTTTAGATTTGTAAGTTACATCTCCTGCCTTTTACAGAAAAGGTGTTGAGAATATCAGTAGATTAGTTAGCCAGGCAAGTGCTAATTGGTTTTTTGTTTGTTTGTTTTTTGTTTTTGACTCAAGGTCAGAAATCTAAAGTGCTTCCATGCATTATTAAAACAAATCCTAAAAACTTTCCAACATGGCTGTTGGCTGTCATTCCGTGTCACTCGCTTTTGACAATGTATGTAAAGCAACACAAAACATTTTCAAACACTTAAAAACTGGGAGTTAGCTCTTCTTCGCTTCTCCTGGTGGGCATGAGTATCAAAAGGACGAGCAAGCTGATTTATTTTCTGCTTCACGTTGTCCAGAGGCGTCTCCCAGGTGAACACATTTCTGAGCCCAGCATTCCCCTTTGCTTGCATTCCCAATTAGCTTACGGGCAACTCTTACAAGCTGCGAAGCTGATGAACAACCAATCAAGAAAACGCCATGCACGAATGTGGAGGAAAGGTTTATATTTGCCCAGTCCCTTACAATGAAGTAAATGCCAAATACCGATGCATAGCCAGAGGCACCATGGAAAAACCAGACTGAGCATTTATATCAGGCAGACGGCTGCATTAAATACACACAGATTTATGTGCATGTAAATGGATAGCCATGTAGACAATTGAGGCATCCCCGTGTCAGGCTGAGACAGTCACTTTGAACCAACAGATTCTTCTCTAAAAGTCAGTATTACAAAAAAAAAAAAATTCCCATAATGATTAACAACACCCAGTTACTCTGACTGCGCCATTGCTATTTCACAGGAGATAGAAGAGCATTGTCTCAGTAATAAAATATGATGTTATCGGACATTTATGGCCTGTGGGGGAAAAATGCAACTGCGGGCCATTGCAATATTATCTCTCATCTCTGACTCTGCTTACTTTTTATCTGTCCGTGCTATATTTAGTAGCTGGTCATTTAAAATTTTTTAAGAAATCAAGGTCCGCATTTAAACAACAAACCAGCGTTTGCGGCTATGAATCCTGGTAGCTAGAAGTTAAAGCATGGTGGCGGGGTGATCTTAAGTTTCGTCCCTCTCTGGCCACTTTAAGAACCCAGCTGGGTGGTAAGGCTGCGTGAACCGCCATTCACCTTTCTTCGGTCTTGTCGAAGCTCCGTGTAAACACCGTCAGTCAAAAAAGAAGATCGGAGACCTAGGGGTCACAACTCGGGATTTTGGGCTTTTTTTTGGAGGTGGGTGTTTTTTTTTCGGTAGGTGTGAAAATCGAGCCAAAATACCCCCCTGCGAAGAAAACTGCCTCCTCCCAAGCTTAGAAAGGTGATTTTCGGAGCTCCCTCCTAAACACACGCGTCCCCAAACTCCTGCGCGCGCGCGCGCGCACCCGCAGCCCCCGAGGGCCCAGCCGAGGGCCGCGGCCAGCGCCGGTCCCCCTCGGGTTTCGCCCTCGCCCCGGCCAATCTGAGCCCGGATGCTAATTAGCCGCGCTCCCCCGATGAACGCGGCTTTGTCGCAGGGAGGGCCGGACTACAAAGCCCAGCATGCCTCGCCCCTCCCTGATCAATGAGGGCTTATTTAAATGATCTCTGAGGTCTTGGACCCAGGCCAATCAGCTGTCAGGGCTCATGATAAATCGCAATGCATTATTGATAATAATAATTACTGGGACATGCGCGTTCCGGCCGCAGGGGGGTAAATTTCCCAACTCCAGGGATCCGCGGCGGAGAGGGCGAGGACGCGCGGCTGTCCCGGCGCCCCGATGCCCGCACCATGTCCAGGCGCAAGCAGGCGAAGCCCCAGCACATCAACTCGGAGGAGGACCAGGGCGAGCGGCCGGCCGCCGAGCTCGCAGACGCGGCCCCAGCGGCGCCGACGGCGGGGGAGCCGGGTGAGTGCGGCCGGGGCGCGACCCTCGAGGGCGCGGGCTCCGGGCGCCGGCGGCGTCCGCGCGGGGTCTGGGGCCGGGGCAGAGGGGCGGCCTTGCTGCCTCGCGCCCCGCGGGTCCTACACCCGCTCCTCCTCCCGCGCCGAGCCCGCCGGGCCGGGGGACCCCTGCGCTCGCGGCTTCACCCCCCCGCCAACCGTTGCCCCCCCCCCCCAGCCTCCTCCCCGGCGCCGCTTCTCAAAGAAAGACCCAGAGGTCCCCACTCTCCCCCCACCCCTCGGGGCCTTTTTCAGGGGCTGGAGGAGGGGCGCACCCCTGGAGGGCCCCCCGGAGGAGGGGGCCGGGTGGGGGAGGGGGCGCGACCTCTCCCCTCCCCGGGAGCCCGGGTGCGGGGCCACCCGCGCCGCGCAGGGGCCGGCTGTCTCCCCGGGCTACGCCGCCTGCCGATCGCCCTAACCTTTCGGGGCCTGACCTCCAGCCATCTTTGATTTCCGACTTCCTAAAAATAACCGCGGCCAGCCCCGGGGGGTGGGAGCCCCCGGGGGCCGGGGCGCACCCGCCTCGCGCTCGGCACGGGCTTCTCTGGGGCGCCCGGGAGGGGAGAGGGGAGGGGGCTGGCTCGGCCCGCGCTTCCGCGGCCGGCGGCTCCCGGGCTTCGGGGGGTTCGGGACCCCGGCCCGGCCTGGCGCGCGCGCGCCCCCTTCTTCGAGGCGGCTGCGGAGCGAGTCCGCCGCCCAGCGCCTCGCCCCGGTCCCGCCAAATTGTCGCCTGAGAACTTTTTCGGCGTGCGCGTGGGGGAGGGGGCCTTGCTCCTAGCTCCGCCGCCCGTTTTCGAATCTCGCGGCCTCCGGGGAGGCACGCGCGGGGCCTGGGGGTCCCGGAGGAGACGCGCGCGACCTTTCGGCCGCTGCCCTCTTTGTGGCCGGGGGAGTGCGGTGGAGTCCCCGAAGGCGCGATGGCTCAGCGAGGTCCCCGTTTCCTTCGGGGCCAGCTGCGCGTTGGGGGGCGTCTGGCGCGCGGGGACGCGCACTGCCCAGGTCCCCGCAGCCTGGACGCGCTCTCTTTGTGCCTCGGTTGGGGGCTGGGGGGGAGCGCGGAGCGGCTTCGTCGCCTGGCCCACCTGGAACAAAAGGGTTAACCCTGGGCCCGCCTGCTTCCTCCGGAGAGGAGGGGCGAGCTCCTGCCTCTGACCCCTCCTCTGGTCCTGCCCTGACCTCCTTCCCCCCTCATTTTGGGTGGGCGCGCACCGGTGAGGCTGCGGGGAGTGTTTGGCGCTGTTGGGGAGCGCTTGCTGCGGGAGGGCTCGTGGGGAGAGAGCAGCGGGGAGCCGGCGTGGACCCGGGCCGCGGGCTGGGGTCTGGGGTCCCGGGTCCGGGGCGCTGGCGTGCGCTCCCACCGCGACCTGGGAGGCGAGCGCAGCGCTGGAGCCGAGCGCGCGGCCGGGCTGCGCGCGGGCGCCCCCTGCAGGCGCGGCCGGGAGGCGGGTCTGCGCAGGTACCGGCTCTCACCTGGGGAGTGCGGCGCCGCGCCGGGGAGGGGTCCCCGCGAGGTGCGCCGGCTCTGCGGGGCCGAGCGTCTGGAATTCTTGGAAAGAATTCCCGGTCTTGGAGAGCGTTCGGCCTGCCCGCAGTTGCTGCGGCGGGAGCGAAGGTAGCTCTTCCACGCAGTCGTTGCACGTTCGGGTCGGATTTTGGGCGTTTGCCGTGGCCCGGCCTGAATGTACAGCACAGCCCCCCCACCTCCCTATTTTTTTTAAGATTGAAGATGGGGCCGGTCTTTTTTGCTGAGCGGTCGAGAAGCAGTTTTTGAGCTAAGAAAATGAAGTCTGGCGATCAATTAGCAGATCAAAAAATCTGCAGGTGGTCGGGAGGGGGGCTAACCCTACACACAAGAAAATTAGCATTTTCTCAAAAGAGTTTCAAATGCCCTTTGTGCTAAACTGGATTACAACCATCGACGGTTAAGAGTCCCAAGTTTCAAATAACTTCTAAAATGACCTAACTCTGGCCGTCAGGATTCCGGCATTAACCGGCTCTCCTGGAATTGCGTTCCAAAAGGGATAGGAGCTACTACTTGCCCAGAACCCCTTGCGCTCATTAAAAATAACGTGAATTATAAAATGCACTCCCCCTCGAAAGAAGGCAGCAGCATGCCCTCGGCTGCACCCCTAAATGATTGTTTGTGCTGTTAGCTTCCTCCTGGGTGGGGGGCTCGGGGACGCCTGGTAGGAGGTGAAAGGTAGTTGCTGCTTTGGAAATGAGAAGTGTGTTGATCCTTTGGAAGATAGATATTTTGAGATCTGCATTCCAATCTGGTTCTACGACTTTCAGCTGAGTAACCTTGAGACCCTGCCTGGTTTTCCTGAGCTCTCGTGTTCTGTGCACTGAAGATAAGACACGGCTCTGTCCCTTGTGGTGCGTCGGGAGTGTGGTTAGTGATGAGTAGTGTTGAACACTGTTTTCTGTGTTACTTACCTGTTGTGTCAACATGGTGTTGAGCGCCAGTTAAGATAGTTCCAGAGTATATGTAGTAGCCTGCTGTGTGCCGGGCGCGTCCTTCTCACAGCCAAAGTGCACTTTTTGCTCACTCACTCTAGAATACACGGCAGCTCCTGGTCGATTGTCCCCCTGCCCTGAACTTGAAGGCTGTGCCTGTTGTGGGCTTCGTGGCACTGGTGCAGGGATGGGGTTTCCTTCTGGCAGCCGGCCGTGAGAGGGCTTCTCTCCACCGTTCTCGTGTTTTGGGATGCGACTTACCGAGTGTGAGGTGAAGAGGTCGTGGGGAAGCAGATGGGAAATAAAACCTTGTCTGTCGGCGATCGCGATCGGCTTCTGAGCCTCGCCGCTCTGGAAGGGCCGTGATGGGGGGAGCCGTTCGGGAACTTTCCTTTCCCGTTAGCCTTGAGCTGTTGCATTTTTATTGTTTGAAGACAATACAGATATAACAAATGGAGATACATTGGATGAGCTGGCGGTCCTGTACTCATCACCAGGTGCGTTTCAGGTCTGGTGAAGCTGTTTTGAGCGGCTGTAGAGAAGCTGACGACCAAGTCCCTCCCCTTATGGAGTTTGCAAATTTGCTGTGGGTAAGACAAGACGCGATGTCCCTGTAGCCTTTAGCCAGGGAGGTCGCACGCCTTAGCAGCTGGGAGCTCTGGTTCTCTCCTTCCTCAGAGTTTGCGAACCGAGCCCGCTTCTGCTTCCTGCGTCTCCGCACTGCCCTCCGTGCCTACTGAAGCGCTCCCTCCCCCGGCTCCATACTTAGGGATGGGGGCTTCATTTCCTTTTGTTTTTTGGTAAGCAGTTTTCCTGGGGGTGGGGGGAGGGTAGGAGGTTTTGTGTGCCTTAGCTAATCTGCTCATTGTCATGCTTCTCATATAGGAATGAAAAAAGATAAGCTTTGGAAAGCTTTTATCAAGACATACAGGTCTTATTTTTTGAAAGCATTTTAGTATCTACAGATTTTGATTAGCCTCTGCTAGATTAACTTTCTTCTATACAATAGACGAGTATTTTCTACCACTTGGCAGTGATTACATCTAAGACCCCTGCTGGGTTTACTGCATTCTTCCTCCTTATTGGATAACTAGATGCTGGGAGATAACATTCCTAAAATTCGGGGTGGGGGCAGGGTGGCAGGGTGGAGAACTCGTTGCCGCGCGGATCTCTCTGAACTTTGTTTTTTTCCTTTTGGGTTAACTTAAGCACAGCCGCAATTGTTCATAACAGAGGCCCCTTGGCTCCTCGGCAAACATGGCTCCGGCGTTTGGCCGTGGTGGTCTGGATGCAGAAGTCCCTTTTTACTGCACCAGCAAACAGAGCTGCTTCTGTTTTAAGACTCAAGTGGGATGTTGCTGGTATCACTTAGGCGACAGAAGAGGCTCGCTTGTGTATACAGCGAAGGCAAGCTGGTATTCAGGCAGTAAATCACTCGGGCGCTGCTGGGTCCTGAGCCCAGGGGAGCTTAACCTTTTTTGTGCCGTAGATCCCATCTCCGCGTAATGCGTGTAAAGATGTTAAATACGTAGACTGCTAAGGAAATAAATTGCATGTAAATACAGTTATCAGAAACCATGTGCTGCTTTGTTAAATAATAAAATCCAGCAGCCTCCAGCAGTTGTGACAGCGGGACGCCCTGGAGGACGCCTGCTTTCTGTTGATAGGCACAGGTTAGGCTCACACCCCCGTGCTGTGTTCTTACCTTCCCAATTGAAACAAATAGTACATTTTACTTCAGCTGAGTGAAAGTAGATTTTTTTTTACCTAGTTTCTTGAACTCTTAAGAATGCCTTCCCTTTTTTTTTTTTTAAAGATTTATTTGAAAGGGAAAGTTATTGAGAGAGAGATCTTCCATCCATTTGTTCACTCCCCAAATGACTGTACGGGTGGAGTCTGGGCCAGGCCCAAACCAGGAACCTGGAGTACATGCAGGTCTCCAGTGTAGGTGGCAGAGCCCAAGCGCTCGGTCACCTTCTGCCTTCCCAGCTGGGAGCTGGATCAGAAGTGGAGTGGCCAGGACTCCAACTGGTGCCCTTGAGATGCTGTTGTTAATGAGTAAGGAGAATGAGGAAAACAGTGTTCAATGGCCGGCGCCGGTGGCTCACTTGGCTAATCCTCCGCCTGCGGCGGCACCGGCACCCCTGGTTCTAGTTCCAGTTGCTCCTCTTCCCGTCCAGCTCTGTGCTGTGGCCCAGGAAGGCAGTGGAGGATGGCCCAAGTGCTTTGGTCCCTGCACCCACATGGGAGACCGGGAGGAAGTACCCGGCTCCCCGCTTTGGATTGGCGCAGCACCTGTTGTAGCCGCCTTTAGGGGAGTGAACCAATGGAAGGAAGACCTTTGTCTCTAACTCTGCCTGGCCAAAAAAAAAATAGTGTTAAACACCTTCTTAGAGAAGTAGAATGAAAAAGTTTCAGAAACTGCTATAGATCTGCTTTTACTAATAATAAACTGCTTTACTGTCCATTTCAAATGGTATTCAGGAATTTCTAGCTAGCAGTGTATCA